ATCCCTTAAACACAAACACCTAAGCCTAAACTCATCCGATCGCATCCGCGCAGCCGCTATCTACTGTGATCAGTTCAATTCGTTCAAGAAACCCACTCCTCAGGCAAAAAGAAGAAGGCATTTGGGCTCTCACTGCTCGAAAGAGTTGGTCTGATATACAAAGCTTGTGTTTGAAGAACTATCTTGAGCGGAGATTACCGCATGCTCTGAATACATCTATACACTAGCTCAAATCAACTTGACTTGCCTGGTGTTAGGAGCGATGAAATATATCTCGGTGGGGGACACTGGCCTCCAGATATACCGAACACCCCGTGATACTATTCGTCCGGGAAAAGTCAGTGGTTCCACCAGCATAATCGTCGTGTCAAATAGCAAAGCTTCCAAGAAATACACTCATTTGCAAATCAATTTGTTTTCGTGAATTGCCTGGTGTTAGGAGCGATGAAATATATCTCGGCGGGGGACACTGGCCTCCAGATATGCCGAACACCCCGTGATACTATTCGTCCGGGAAAAGTCAGTGGTTCCACCAGCATAATCGTCGTGTCAAATAGCAAAGCTTCCAAGAAATACACTCATTTGCAAATCAATTTTGTTTTCGCGAAACCAGTCGTGGGCTGTCGAAGAGTTTTCAGCAACCTTGTGAGTAGTTTTCTTTATGGAAAGCATAGCTTCCATTTCAGACGCAGGACTCAGAGTGAAAACGTGTATATGACACGATGAAGTGAAGCCTGATAAAGATTGCTCCTGACAGAATACCGTATGTCAATTACGGTGTATATAAGTAAGACTCACACGGTTAAGATTGCCGCCAACCATTTGAGGAGCTAAAAGTCAACAACTTTAACCAATATATTCCGGTTTACCTCTCCCTTTTCACTAATTTGGCTGGAGTTTCGTTTCAATTGAAACACCTAGTCCGCTGAATTAACATTCAAATGGAGATGCCGATCGGATACACCAAAACTTCATGTGAGTATTTAGGCCTAAAACAAGAGCTTGAGTATCCGACGGGGGTTGCCGCAAAAGGAAACAAGACTTGGTTTGAGGGGGGAATATTCAAGATGCACAAGGTAACAAAGAAATCCAGGTAAGAAACGTGCAGCGGTTTGTCATCTTAAAGAGTTAATTTCAGACGGTACGAGATGTTCGTTGTGACAGCCATGGCGAATGGGGATCGTCCGCAGAGGCACCACGATTTGTGTCATCAGTAGCCTTGAAAAATGGCATAAAATTTATAGAATCGCCCAAGTAGTCACATTGGGAGAAGCCAGGAAGTAGCGTGGTCGAGGAAGAAGCCGCCCTGCAGTCGCCGGGAAGATCTGAAATTTTTCAATTCTTCAGCGTTTCGCCACTGTATCTCGTTAGTCAAGAGCCCATTTTTCATGGAGATGTAAACGGTGTAGAACGCACCCAGGCCAAACGAATGGGTTAAAACGCTCTGTGCTTAGAGGTACTGGTTCAACTGGTAGCAAATCTTCAAATCGTTTAGATGCTACTTGTGTTTTGTAAGTAGCCAAACGAACAAAGTAACCGAACGAGGTTTTTACCAGGTGTAGAGCATCACACTGCATTCTTATTTAGAAGCCAATTTTAAATAGGCAGAGTTATCATACTGAAGCGAAGTTTGCTTTTGACTGAACTTTTCAAACTACCTCTCTTTCTGCTTGTGTTGTTGGTCTCGAAACACTACAGCTTTTCTTCGTTAGACATTCGCGCTTACATTCAGATTTTGTAAAGGACACGAAATTCAGAGTGGATTAATGATCATACGCCTAAGGATTATTATTGTGTGCTAACTTTCTAGTTATTCGCGTTAAAAGCGATCACATAGTGCCTTATCGTTAAGTTATGGCGGAAGTGATTCGGAGAATTTTCCCGCCCTAATGTTGTATCATCCATTTACGACGCTCTTCCGAGACTATCATCGTACCCTCGCTCGTAAGGCTCTCGTTGAGTATAAATACACATAATTCTGAACTGGAATCTGAAACTGGCCAGTAGATCAATAGGGGTTTTCCGGGGACTGAGCACGATGATACGTTCAAGCGGTTGCTGCCAATGTAACCCGGCGTACCAACACCCAGAATTGGTTGAGGCATCGGCCAGCTTAACTGCGATTCCATAGAGAACGGCAGCATCACTAGTCCTCAAACAAGAAGGAGGCCTTTTCTCTTGGTACTTTCCCATGTTTTAAAAAACATCCAAAGAAGTCATCAGCGAGATATTTTCTGTCTTATTCCCCAGATTTCCGGAGTTAACTTACATTGCACCGTCCAGCTACCACCAAGGTTTCCAGCTTTGTTTTGCACTATCACAAACAACGAACGTGCATGTGTGCACATGTTCTAACGTGACTTAGTCAGTGGCAGTCAACAGGGAGGAAAAGGCTTTTGCCTGTGAGCACAGACTACATGGTCGGAGAAGAATTTGTATTGTTGTTGGACACAACTGTACAGCGCCTAATGGGGCAGAAATATATCACCAGACAGTTTTCTACAGACGAGAGTCGCAGAATACTAATGAGCATCGATCCACCGGGCGGGTTGATTTTTTTAAAATTTTACCAGACGAGTCTGTATAGAGATACTGTGAGTTGTCCGAATCCTCACTAAAGATCCCATATATAGACAGACCACCGAAATTCTCCTGCAACTATACAGAAATAAAGAATGGCCAGTCATATTTTGATTAAAGTGATCAAAGTCACTGACGAAACACATTGATTTGCCAATAAGGTTGATGTTAACGGGAGATAAAACCGAAATCTCCCGTTTGTGACAGTAGTGTTACCAGCAGAGGTGGCCTTTTTTTGCAATTGCACACGATGAAAAATTCTTGTCCCTTTAAACTGAGCCAACCACGTCCCTCGAGAAAGCATAAATACAGTTGAGAAGGCCCAATTTCAACGTGTTTCGAATTACTGGAGTTCCTTGTTCTTCGCAGACAAGTCCCGGAAGACCAGGTCGTGACGGCTGTGTAGATAGAATGTTCGCGCCCCCTCGGACACAAGAAAAACGCCAAAAATATTACAGAACAACAGTTAGTGTGGTTCGCCTTCGTTTCTGTGCCCCAGAAGGCTCTATGGGAATGCTCAATAGGAAAGTGGCACAAAGCATTGTTTGATAATTCGGGGACTAAGTCAACAAGCCTTAGGGAAGGTCAACCCTACGACAGACTTTAGCTCCCGCTTTACCTTCACGGAGTATGTACAGATTTTCCCCTTATATTCGTCTCTCTCCCCAATTTCTTGATCGATGACATCATCCACAGCGCAATGGAAGTCCGACGTAGTCACGGCATAGAACAGGAGATAAGCCTGCCGACCAGGATGCTCGTAGCTGCTACCGTACTTCAGATGTTCAGAAGATGCGACCTAATTGAGGCGGCCCATCAATCGCGGTGGCACAATTTAGTTCCTCACATTAGAATGAAAGATGCTAGCCCAGGATTCATTGAGCCTGCCCTCACCATAGATAGGAGAAAGTTGAACCTAGGCTACGGCAGTGTTCACTTGGGAGATTGTGCCTTCTGGTGGGTGGGAGGGAACCGGGCAGGCGAAGTATCGCAACCAATTTCGAGATACGCAGTAGCTTTCGCCGATTTACGGGAACGAAGCGACATCCATCCTACTTTAAAGGGAAGGATGTGGAGATCACACAGTGCGTGCTACCTTGATTTACGAATGAGAAACCTGGTCACATTGTGTGTACCGCTGCTAGCAAATCAGTGCTTGAAGTTGATGATGACATGTTGACAACCGCGTAATCCTTCATATTGTGTTGGGTTCAGTCAAGCCTCTTCGAAGGTTGCGATTTTGCTATAACAGCTGAGATAGCTTTCGGACATTTTGTGCATACCCACTCAGAGCCTTCCACGTCACACGGTTTGCGCATGCTGGAACTGGAGGGCGACACATTCAGGACATGACATGATGGTGTAGAGATAAGGAATACTGCGGCAGAACCATCCACAGTTGTTTTCTGGTTTGGGGCCCGCCAGACGCTGATGACAACTACTGGGTGCAGATACTAGACGTATCTCGGCATCGTAACCAATGGTAAGCGTGTTCAGAAGCTCGTTGGTGACCGAAAAGAACAAACAAAATCCCGTCACCAAAACACAGAAAAGTGCATCTGACTATACTTGTCCTCCTCTTGCCAACTTCGTCAACAAACCAGATGTCCGACCGCAAACACAGAGCTTATAGCTCGTGTATACATCACTTTATCGTTCCATACAAACTCAATACTTTTAGTTCCCTACTTTATCGTTCCATACAAACTCAATAACTGTTAGTCCCCTACCCGTGCCTGTCTACATGTACCTGCCGAACCCAAAACTGGTATTTTGAAACGTACAGTCTCAAGGTCTTCGGGTAATACACTGTCCACTGAATGGGCCTGCGTTATCTATGAAAACCGAATTTATACTCTTCGAGATGGTCACGCCCAATTCTAATTCGTGATAGTCAAAAAAAGCCTACGGTTCAGAATGAATCAAAAAGTCAGCGCGAAAAATTACCGTTGTAATGACAGGAAGGATCACAAGTAAAAAAGTGATTCACCTGCCTCAGAACCAGAACTTCGGGTTATGTTATTCTCTCCACTCCCAGATAACAGAGATCCAACTGCGATTCTGCGGACCACCGAAACGATAAATAAGTTAACACCGTCGTAAAATGCTGTGGAAGATAATTTCACAGATTAACACAAATTCACACCCTGTGGTGAAATCTGTGACAAGCATCCTGGACAGTGGTTCAGGTAATGAAAACAACGCTTTAGGACGTGTATTTGAGTGAATCTCGATGACCGCCTGAGGTTTCGTGAGACAGAGGCCTTTAGAAAAATCGCCCTGTTATCAAATCGCGTTTGGCCGGGGAAGACCACCGTTACTGCTCTCAGAAATTTAGCGATCCAGCTCACATAGGAGTCTCTTCAAGCTTTCTAGATTCCATGTAAAAGCAAAGTATAGTTTGGATCATTTATTACAATGGCAGTTGTATTGGTTTCTGAGTAAGGTAGAAAATTGAACACCGTTCAGGTCAGGGATGTAAAGGCAAGAAAAAAGTCTGACTATTTGGTTGGTATGGAAAATCATGTTGAACCAGATCATTCGTCATCGGATCATAGTTAGTCAAATGGTCGTTCTCGTCAAAACCAAAAACGGGGGAGGACAAACAGGAAAAATATGAATGTCGCCGACAGCATTCCTGAGAAAAAGTCAAACGGACAAATGGGATGGAAACCAATATGACGCCACTGGTCAGATATGTCCGACTCTTAGTTTTAAGCAAAAGAGAAAGTAAAAGAAAAAAAACAATGAAAGAAAGAAAGAAAGAAGTACAAGTGATGACAATTCAGCAACGTTGGCTGGGGTCACGGCGAGGTGAAAAATTGAAGAATATGGATAAATCATCAAAGGAAAGCATCGTGCGACATCAGCAGTGGTAGTGGTAGCGTGATATCGCAAGAATAAAAAAGAACACATGGGCATAGAAAAAAAGAAAAATCAATCGTTTGTTGACAAAATGAAAAAATTCAAACTTACTATCATGGGATGTAGGGGCCTAAATAAAAACAGTTATGTACAGATCATATCACTTTAGTAAGGTAAGAACGCACACCGATAGATAGGAATAGTAAGTGGCGCGTCAGTAGAGGAGTGTAGGGTCAAACGAATGCACGGTGACACCTGACGGGGTTAGATTAGGATGCGCAAAGACAGGGAGAATCAAAGGCTGTACAGACTAATGAGAGAAAGGTGGGCGCAGCGTATGTTGAGTCGCAGACGATGCGATTGGCAGAAAGTGCCAAGGGAAGTAGCGAAGTAGCGGCAACCAATTATTGCTGATCCATTCGGAGCTGTGCGATCCCATTGGTTAGTGGAGAGGCACAAGAATAATGCGACTCCGCTTCACGCGTGTGTGAGCCCGCGTCCATTGGCAGAACTCTAACCCGCTGTTCCAAATCTATTGCCTCTGAGAAAGACCTATTTTAAGCAAGAAAGAGAAATGGATGTCTGTTGTTGGATTGCAAGAGCACCCCCATAACGAAAACGGTAAACTTTCAGCGAATCATATGACAGTGCAGTGATCCACATGTTGAAGGGCCTACACAAGTTTCCACTATCAGCGCACCTTTCGAACGCGTGCTCAGGCGCTGAAATATGGGTATTTCATTTCACTAAATCCTCGTTACTAAACTGATGCGCGCGAGGATCCCCAACGTACTGTATACATGTAAAAAAAACGTTTCACATTCCAACCGGGATACAAATAAACTATGGTCGGAGATACCTACGTCAGTGTCGATCAGACTGTTAATTTCTATCCTGACTACCTGAGTGGCTACTACTGGTGAGGTAGGCAACTTGGATGTTTTTGGACAGGCCAAGTGCACTGCAACCCTCCATCTTTATTATTTTTAGCAAAGGGCTTTGTATAAATAAATTCACATGATTTTATGATAGTGAAGTGTCGGTACGTTACATAAGAGTTGCTGTCATTGGTACCAATGTAGCTAGGCCAGATAAAAACAAGCACAACAAAACCATACCATTGCTTTTATCGAGAAAATCTACCTCTACCTGTGGCAAAACATGGAACGTGTAGAAAGGAATAGTCCCGCCATTATCGTCTACTGGAATGCACAATACGCTGAATGGAACAGAGCCGTGGTGCCAGATCTAAGGAACAATGAGCTACCTAGTCTGTGTGGACTAAAAATAGAACCAACCAACAAAGTTTGTATATCTATTGGTACGTGTGTGTGCGTAGGTATCTGTGCGTGAGAACTATGCTCAAACACGAGAATAAAGGCGATGATATTTACAGTCAATAAATAACTCATCAAAGGTGCTGAGCGAGATAAAAAGGAACCATGCAACATTCCAGTTAAAAGCAGGAATTTCTTCAACTGGACCCAAATGACCCAGTTTCATCACGGCCTCCGAAATTCGGATACAAAACACTAGAAAGTATAATGTTGAGTTCACCTAGGTACTGAATATGAGCATCAGGTGGTCCTAACGTTAATCATTGTGGAGGTTTTGACACCTTGGATACCTCAGGTCTTGACCAGACCACTGAGAAGTGGAGGTTCACCGGAAATCCGAGTTCCAGTCAAGAACTTTCTAGCCGTGTTGCATTCGGAAAGAAATGGTGACGGCGTTAAAAAACGAAAAAGATTACTTATTTTTTGCCTTGGACTTGGTAACTCGGAAATGTGTGCATAGAAACGGTTCGAGCGGCTAGCTGAACATCTGTAGACCTCGGTCACAACCAGACATTTAGCTGGTCCTAGTAAGTTATTTTACTAATAAAACAGTGGTACAACCAAATTACATAAAAATCACGTCAACGAGTCAGTAGGGCTCCATATCAGTACTGTGCAGCCGGTTAATCGAAGTTAAACAATAAGTACACCGTTTCAATAACCACCAGAAAGAGTGAATTTTCGACCAGTGTTCATCGACTGGAAAATTCGCCAAAAGGAATTGTAGTCTACGGTGTGCAAACTGATGCTTATGTCGCCCACGGTAGTCACTTTCGAAAACATTAACCTGATTTTTTCAGAAAATCTGTGCAGGACTCTCTCCGGAAGATATGCCACATCCCAGAAAACGTGTTATTTGTGGTGCCCTCTCGCTGAGAGGATCAACAATGAAAGTTCATCGCGTGTTATCAAATGGCGCAGGAGTATGAAGGAGATCACGAAACGCTTGGGTGTTGTCGGTGCTACTCGCCTTCCAGGATGGGGACCGCCTGATCCTCAGTGTGCCTGGTTGGAGACACCAAGATATGGCTGCCAACCGATGTCAGTGGCGTTCTTGTTGTCAGTTTCTGTCCAGATTGCCTGAATGAATGTCTGGAGGTGTAGGCACCTCGGAATGATTGTGTTAAGCTAGCACTAAGTCCCTCCCCCATCCACCTTTATTCTTTTCTTCAAATAAGTCATGGTTGTACGGCAGTGAAGCATCCGTGTTGAACACTGATGTCATGCTGTCGATGATGATGTTGATGATGATGTGTTATCAGATCGCCGCTGAATATGTGGAACCAAAAGGGTCAAAAATGTCCACGAAACGGTCATGCGACCAGCATGACCCATCGGCATTTATCTAGCCCAGAACAATTCTAACAGCATTGAAGCATAGAATTTCAGAATCCAAAAATCGTCCAAGCAGAAGTTTTCCTCAACTTAGTGTAGGTAGACCATGGGTGGATAGAGTTCCCCGACTACACTAAAGTGTGATCGCGACCAAACTGATTCAATGCCAGGTTGGGCGATAAGATGGATGCTGGGATTCAGTGAAACTCAACAGAGTTGTCGAGCGATGGTACAGCGGAACAACAGATCAGTACGTTTATAAGAATTCGACTAGTAAATCAAGTGAGTCAAGATGTAGTGCAGCTGCACCGAGAGAACAGATCAAAACAAAAACCAGTGAACTCTGAGAAAATGAAGTATGAATACAGCTAGTTCACTTACGTCTCAGTAAAAAAGCTTATCCAAGCTAAACGTTTCCGAGATACTTATAAAATAATTTTCAAGCTACCGTAGGTACTTGCTCACTCCTTACTCACTCATTCACTCACAAACCATTTGATCTGCTTAACCGATTAATTAATTATTCAACCATTTCATCAGGCTTCGCTTATGTTAACAAACTGGTTAGACAAACCTCTAGCTTCCGTCAGATCAGAGATGGAAGTGCCTTTTGGTGGGCAGAATAACTTCAAGTTAGATGATCTTCTCCTTTGGAAAGTATGATGCTGCACTATCCCATAACGTCGTGTTGGCGATTAGAAGGAACTTTTTACCACGATGCAGTTGATGAAACATAAAATCAACACCTGTTCTGCTAATTGTTGACGCAACCCATCTGCAAAACACCACATTGGTCGGTGACCAGCAACCTCCAGCTAACTCGTCACCTTTCCGGGTCACCGTTTGATGGAATTTGCCACTTGTCTACGTCCAGAACAACCTGCTGATTGATGTAAACTTGAATTTATGCTCAGTTCTCGCTCCTTAACTTTGATAGTACCTAGTTTCGTCATACCGTCCGCATCACACAAGTCGGTTAATCACGTGGGTCGTTCAACGTAGTAAACAATCAGTCAGTCAGCCAGTCAGCATTGTGGCCTAATTGGCGTTGTGTAGCTTATTCTTACTACGGCCTGAATTGGTGGAGGAATAATGTATTACTGTGCAGTATTTGATTGGCCACACTATGACAAGCAGTTCTTGAGAGTAAAACCCACGGATGCCAGCGCGCTTCTGCGCTGAATTTACTTAAATGGAACTTGTAAGAGTTGAGCGCTCGAGGTAAAGTTCTGGACTCTATCGAATTTCCTGTGTGCAAAAGCTGAGCATATAATACCATGCAAATACAGGTACAGCACTAAAAAAATCCAATCTAGTGACCATACGGTGATTTTTCTTGAACATTTTCAGATACGATTAGGTAACCTCTAACCGAGAGATAATCATGCAGTGCGATCGCTTTGGTCTAAAAACATCTCATACTGGAAGTAGCTGAATGTTCGTTCGTTGTTTACGTGGAGTATTCAGTTGTAAAAAAAATTCCATTTCCTGAAGGTACTTCCACAAGGTAGATACGCAGGTAGCGACCTGTTACTTGGAAAGAATGCAACAATTTATGGCGATATACATAGCTTTTCTAACCATTTATATCAAGCCTGCGTTCGTTCCACTATTTTAGAAGTAATCTCCAGCTGAAAAGAGTATTCTTCTCTAAGTCCGCAAAACAAACAGCTGGCATAAATCAACAAACCAAAGGAGAAGGCGCTGCATTATGTTCTTGTTTTCACTCGACGATAACGGCACAAACATATCTCGCTGTTGAGGATTGATTTGCCAGCGGACAAAAAGAACCGGAGGACAACCTGTTTATTCAAAGAAATCTAAGTGGACGAAGTGTCTGGCCATTATCCAAACCGCCTGTGATCCTTACGCCTAAGACACCCGTAGGGACGATGACTTGACTGAAATTGGAGAACTGAATAAATGACGTATTTTCCAAACAGTAGATTGCAATACACACCCAGCTATTTGAATTGCAGTTGAGCAGGTGACAAACACACATAAAAAAAACAGATTGGTAGGCCAATCAGATGTTCGTCGAGACAAGGAATATAGAGAAATTTCAACACAAACAGTGATTTGCGTATCAGTTCGGGTTTCGCGGGAGACTCGAGTGAATCTCTCGTTTATGATATTCTTCAACTAAATGTGCTTCACAAAGGCCGTCTTATGCTTCAGTTGATACCGTATCTGGGCTGTCGCAGTATATTTTCCTAAAGGCAACTACACAAGGTTGCTGAAAACTTTCCGACAGAGCATGACCAGTTCCATTCCTCATGGTGCTCATAAAGTATGCGAACTTCTCGAGTTTCCGTCAACTTCATGTTCTGCTTAAAACCAAATGGGATAGATTTTACTTGCAAAGCAATTTGATTTTCATGGGAGACGCCTACTTGATGAGCCCCAAGAAGGGCGAAACCGACTGCGGACTGTCACAGAGAGTTCAACAATCTTGTGGGTAGCTTCCTTAGTGAAAACATAGAACAGCCCTTTTGAGAGTTAACAGGAAGGCCACAAAACAACCGTACGTACTTTGGAGGGCTGTTCGGATAATGTGCTGATCACGGTATCTCCACTCGTTTTGGTTGGGATCCACTAATTCAGCTCTAGAGCATCTCTGCGTACTTGGGGTGGGGGGAGGCGATAACCAGGCTGAAAGCGGACCGCTCCAAAACTTGGATGCCATGAAAAACCAGTCTGCTTTTGGTGAGGTAAAGGCTGTGTACTACAGACGTTATCTTGCTGAAATATGACTTACTCATGTCTAGCAAAGAGAACAAGAATCAATTCAATATCTTTACCGGTCATTCGGTGTTACAAACCCACTCATTCCAGAGAATGACGCGAATTTAATGAGTCAAGGCCAACTTTGAAGATCGTGAGAACAACCCGCCTTGGAAATTTATTTAAAAGCAATCGTTGTCAAAACCGTCCAAACAGGACGTGAAGTATAGGTGTGCGGATTGGGCTCGATGGATGTTGAGTGGTTGCACGTAAATGGTTGGGTAGATCGGTGTGGCTCTATTATTTTCTAGCACCAGATATGGGGTTTTGTGAACTCGCTCATTATCCTATCGGCATAACAAACCTGATTCACAGATCTAGAACTGTAATCAACCTCAACCAGAGGGTTGTGATGAAGCATCGAAGTGGTCCAGTAGTTCCGTCGAGGTTAGTTATATGAACCCGAAGCAGTGAAGCAGTATGGCTATCCACAAAATTACGCGAACGTAGCCGGTCAGAACACAGGCTTGCGTTCGATCCAACAACACTACCTGTGTGAAACACGAACAGCCAATCACAGATGATGACGGTCAGCAGCACATAAGTCAGCGTACTTTCGCCCACGTACCACACTGATGATGTTACCCTGATTGGTGACGAACCAGTTTCAACCCAATTGTCCAGTTTGTTAAACAAACCAACGACCGAAGTCAGTTTCTATTTGGATTATCCGATTGTGTTTGGTAATCTGGTAGTATTTGGTGATACTTATGGTGGATTATCCTTCACCTCGCACAAGTGGACCACAAGCGTAGATAATAACTACAACAGGCGATATCAACAAAATCATTTGCACACTATTATCTTTTGCCGTAANGTAAAACTTGGATTCCCAGTCGCTGACCTACACGACTCCCGAATCCTGAAATCTCAACATGGACTTACGCATTCGCCTATTTGTTGTCACCGTCAGAGAGGCGTCACCCTGCATAGGCCGTCTGTCATAGACCATTCGCAGGTCAACTTATGGATGTAAACCAGCTTCAGTAAACAATAAACGTGATAAAAAGCCGAAGCAAAAGAAAAAAACTTACATTGCTACATTATGACTGCACACATTTTGTAAACACTGCCATCCAGTTTTGGCCTGGTAACGAATGGTAGCGAGCAGATTGGAAACGGCTTCCGGACAGGGAGCACGGTCTAATTCCAACTTAGAAATCCAATCTGAAGCGTTGTGAAATGCATCCAGAAAGGCTTCGGGCGCAGTGCCCATTGGATTCGAAACAGCGGCGCTCCCGTCACCCAAATACGGGATCCACTTTCGTGCAGGCTCGGGGAGAAGTAGGGCATTCAAACAGTTCGTGATACATTCGCTAACAACCACAGGCTGGTAACCGCCCTCCAGTGCAAGCACCACCCGACTATTGGCCAGCGACATACACTAAAAACAGAAGGTCCAAAAGAGGCAATAGATGTTACGATCAGCGGTTATAATTCCTAGAAATATCTGGAATTTTCCAGGTATTTCGTGTCATTTACTACAACCAAAAACACCTGTAGATTTTACACCTTTCCGGATGAATAATATAACCACACAGCAGGGTTTTACAATCTCCAAACAAGACATGTAACTTTGTCAACTTGTTTCACAGGTTCACCAACCACATCACTGACCACCACTAAAGAGCCGATGATAGGATACTCAACCGCTAACCGGCAGGTGGCGGTTTGGAATCCCGCTGGGGATCAGTGGGAACCGCCAATGGTTACCAAAAGGGATGAAAACACTGCACACTGCACCTCTGCTTTTAAGCATAGGTTGATCCCACTTGCCGGAGGGAATCTCAAGAAAGTCTCACGTGCTTGTTCCTGGCCCAAATTCATCAGCCTATTACGAGAGGCGCAGCGTTTCCCATCACCCAGGTTAATTCAACACAAGGAACAAACACGCTGACAACCAAGAGCAAAAAGCCTGCTACATGGAACAGAAGTGAAAACGAACAGACCAGCTGGGAAAGATGAATAAGCTAGTCGGTTACCTGGTCGACGAATGCGAAACATCCAGGGTAAAAAATGTGATAAGTACTACTAGCCCCTAAAGAAATCACACAGCACCATGTATTGATCCGTATTGGCAGCATATATATGAAAGAATGACGAAACTGACAATCTGAAAGACAGAGCGCTTCAGTGATATCACCTACCTGCCGGGTGATCCATGCGAATAAGCCTGGTGAGACGGAATAACCACCGAGTGCTTCCCCATGGCCCCGGGCAGCATCGAATCCAGCAGATATGAGAATCACATCGGGTTGAAATTCATGGCCTACTGGAATGACCACACATCGCATCGCGGCCAAATATTCTGCGTCACTCAAACCCAAAAGTGGTCGGTGTGGCGTAATGGGATCGGCTGCATGTGGTCGGTCAGGGTTTGAACCGGCTGTCCGACAGTCTTCAAGTGCAGTGCTTCCCGAACTGGTCGGAAGGAAAGACGATCCGGAGAGAATAGATGAGGCTATAGAGGATCGTATCGAATGGGATAGACAGACGGAGCATGGTTGGACAGTGCTGTTGTGCGGATGCTCGTTAGCATCCAATCGGCAGTGACACACAGGTAAATCTGTTGGATCGCGGTGTAACACACTCGCCTGGTTCGAAAAGACTGAGCTGGATGATGTCTCCGGGGAGTGAAGGCCCGCGACGATTAAGCGGGAACTGGTTTTACGATACAGTTTTTGTCGTTCGCAGGACTGTTTAGGTTGAGAATAGTAAAAGAGATTAATTGGAAGTATGAGTCCCAATCAACACCGCACAAACAGAAAGAACAAGACAAAAATTCACCTGTCGCCAGATTTCACGCCGATCCACTGCATCTAACATTGACAGAACAGTAGAATTCACATCTGACGCAGATGGGGTTTCCCAGGCAATATTGATCAGTTGAGAACGTCCCTCAGAGCTTGAAGTCAAGTTCAAGTCCCCATGCTTCGGACTAACGGGCCCCTCGTTTGCGGCACCAGTCCCGGGAAAGAACTTCCCTCCATCATACCGATGAATGCTAATGTATAGTAGTCCAGGATGTTGTAATGCAGCCAATTTGGTCCCGTTTCCATGGTGAATATCCCAGTCTAGAATGAGTACACGGGATACCAATTGAGAGCGAAGTAAGCGTAACGCTGTGATCGCAACCGAGTTGAAGTAACAGAATCCCATGGCTTGTCCAGGTTCGGCGTGGTGCCCCGGAGGACGAACTAAGGCGAAACCATTGCGAATTTCATTTTTGGCGACTCTACGTCAAAAGAAGAGAACGATTACACAAAAGGTGGTGACTAAAATAGCCTTTTGTGGTCGATTAGTTTGATATATAGAAGAGAAGTGATGACAAAAAATGTGGGGTTGTTCACGTATGCACAGAATGTGAAAACAACAATAAACGGTACATGAGAACAATGTATTTGGTTTTACAATACTCCACGTTACGCCACGATAGATCACGACCAGCTTCTCACACCAGATGAGCGCATTTCGAAACTCAGTGTGGCTGAGAATATTCAATGATAATAAATGAAAACACGAGTGGAACGGGAGCTCAGTATTTTCGTTTTTTGAACAGACCAACTGTGACAGGTTAGGATACAGAAACATGTGAGATGGGACAGAATCGCCAGTTTCCAGAACTGCATTCGGATGGCATTGGTAGCTGAAAGAAAGCAACGGTCCGAGGGTGTGGCACATGTCTAACAGGGGACTGCAAGCAGTGACGGTGTATATATGCAAGGAAAAAGAGAGTAGACCATCGAAGCCGAAAGTTTAAAATATTTTGCGAATCACACACGCAGGTATTATGGACATCCATATACAGTAATTATTAGGGACGGTGGCAATGACAACTCACTTTGTAGCCAAGCAAAGCACCTGGCCTACGGCCAGTCGTGCCGCACGAGCAGTACTCGACGGATTCCACACGGTGTCTGAATCCACACCGATCCCACCACAGTTCAGCTTGCACAGCCGCTGCATCAGTTTCTGCACAGCGTCTGCGGGCTTTGTGTCTTGCCCCGCAGGGGAAGGATTGAATAGTGATAACAACAGACTGGGTTCCAAAACTGGGTTATGCGGGTTGCCAAACGCAACCACGTAATCTTTGGAATGAAACGTACAAATCTCCTCCTGGACGTAGGCGGGATAGAGAGGAAATAGTCAACAGAATGGGTGGGTAGATTGCAGACGCTATGATGATGACGTTATGAGTCAGAGTTGAAACAGCCCAAGTGTCCCCAGGTGGAAATCTATGTACGACGGTATTGTATTAACGTTCGCCAAACTCAGCTGTGGATGGGAGGGGAACGCGACTGGACTACACAGAGAGATCCTGTACCACGAATAAGAATTCTGCAAAAAGGCTACACTAGTAGCCACTGTTTACTGGAATGCAGTTGGCGCGAAAGCAATGCGCAGGCACATGTAGGCAAAAGACGGGTTTCTCGCTTACAGCAAAATGTGCTTGAATGGAGGATACGAACAACTGATCGAAATTTGCGCAGCACACAGATATTTGTTCGGTCAATGTTATTAGAAACGAGCTCACATAAAAAGAGCAACACAACCTACCTGATGAGCCCTAAGAACGGTGAAACCGGTCTTGGGCTGTCGAAGAGTTTTCAGCAACCTTGTGAGTAGTTTCCTCTATGAAAAGCAACACAACCCAATTCACTTCGCTCGACCATCACAGAACTCGAAGCGCAAATTTTAGAGTCAAAAATTCTCCAAAACAATAGCAGAGAGCAAAAGGAATAGATTCGTGAAGGTGGGAGTTCATTATCTAATTCACACGGCACTTCCATTATGTTAATTAAGGTTATCTAATGATCACCACCATCCCCATTCGTTAATCAGGACCATTTCCCAATCCGATAAAGTTGTTTTTGGCACCACTGCTTAAATAGTTATGGAAAAAATGCACGCCATAACCTATCAGTTTTCGGGAGGGTAACGGAATGGACAATCTGACAGTAATCAATTAATGATGGACAGAAAATCTAATGCAGCTGCACATCAGCCTACTGTGCAGCGGAACACTCATGTGAAACAGTGCCGTGCGATTACACCCACATGTGTGAATCACGTGCGAGTTCACCGTACCGGAGAAAGGTCAAAAAGGGACACAAGAAATTCACGTCCATCCCATGGCCAAGCGCACAGGCGGCCATCTATGATTAACCGAAACAAAGGAACAACACGTTTGTTGTAATCAAACGAGATAACGTGAACAGCTTCCACGATTATCTCAATAGTTTAAACCCACACATTAAGTTTCGCATGGAAATAGAGTCCACCTCGGGTACATTACCATTTCTGGACTGTATAACCCATAAGGTTGGTGGTAAATTGAAAACGACTATCTACCGGAAATCAACAGACACGGGAACCGTCTTAAGCTATTCATCAGCACACCCAAAGTTCGTGTACGCCAGTATTGTCTCATCGACGTTTCGTCGAGTTAAATCGCTGTGCACAGAAGAGACCGACCGGACGGCAGCTTAAATCGAGATTGCCAACAAACTTCAAGAAATAGGATACCCAGTGAGTTTGATTAGGCGTCAACTAAGGAAGATATTGGATCCAGTATCTACACCCAGTAAGGAATGGATTGGCACAGCGGTCATTCCAGGAACGAACATCGGAGGTTATTCGAAGATTGTTGAACTAAACCAACATTCGAGTAGCCTTTCAGAAGGGAGAAACGATACGCTCAGTTTTGGTGCAATCGAAAGATCCCCTGCCAGCTGAAAGAACTAGGGACTGTGTGTACAAAATTAACTGCAACGATTGCGCCAAGGTTTATATAAGACAAACTGCCAAGGACTCGCACACCAGAATTGGTGAGCATAAAAGAAGGATTAACAAACCACCAAAGAATGCAGAAGAATAGCAAACGCTGGTCAAAGACTCAGCGATGGCGGTACATGCCTTAGACACGGGACATAGAATAGATCTGGAGAATGTGGAAGTTTTAAGACGGGGACTACGATTCACACCACAGCGGCTGATAGCCGAGCATCACAGCGTGAATAGAATCGAGGGTGTGGAGCTAGCGAGCGTATGGAAAGCGGTCTTAGATAAACCGAGTTGACACGTAACGATGTAGTTGTCAATCCACTTAGGATCATTAGAAAAAACCCCAACCGACCAAAGGTCACAGCATCCCTTTTACACAACTATCTTAGCACTAGCTCACCCACACAGACTAACAGAAGGTTCAAACGAAGTTCAAGAGGAACCATCAAATGAACCGAACCAGAAGAACTAGACCCTAGGCAGGACCCAAACACATGTGGGTTTCCCCACCGACCCAACACTTGTTCAACCACTCTAACACACTAAAATCCCTCGACCGACATCCAACAGAGATGTAGCTTGACTTAGCTGATTGGTTCTCCTTCCGCCTTAAATCTCGACCAACCTCGAAACCTAGTCACTTGGCCTGACGAAGCTTCTGTGTCAACGTTGCCCAGAAATAAATCTACCAATTGTCATCAAACCTCTTTCAAAAAAAGGAACAATCGCCCGAGAACCAAAGTGGGCGTGCAGCAGACACACTAGTTGGTTGAGAGCAGATCGACCATCAAATACGGTCACAAGTGAATCATATAAGTAGAAAGTTGTAATTGCATTAAGACACAGTTTTTCTGGTCGCTGTCTTGTCTTCTGACGATAACCCAGTAGCGTCACAGAAATACCGAAAACAGCTCCTTCAGATGAATCTACCTGGATGCCACGTTTCCAATTAAAATTTACGTCTTCTGTGAAAAAGTTATTTCCGATTACATGAGAAACCGATCATCATGCAAAGTGCCAATTTGTTTATCGATGAAATCCAGTTGTGCCGGCTAACTTAATCGTAAACAACAATATCATGGATGTAACTTTCTTTTTTACTATCAAAGCAAAAAAACTAGTTAGCCCAAGTACCTCAGAAGCCATTCGTGCACGGACAAGACGGCAAAATCCAATCAAAGGAATACGAGACAGTAGTTCCCGAAGCACCGTTGGATTCCAATCTGTCAGCTGATTTAGTTCTTGCTGCAACGTCGGATTCTCAGTAGCAACGGCAGATTGAAGCATGTGCAACAAGTCGATGGGTTGAAGCTGAATATTTGAGGGAATGTGTAGGAAAGTATCCAAAAGGCGCTCTAGCACAGGTCGCATGCGTTCAGGAGATTCTGGATGAGTATCCAAATCGGATGCCTTGGGACACAGACAGCGATGTTCCAACATATCCGGGTCGAAGGCCAGTGCAGTCGGCCGACAGTGGGGATCAGCTAGCGGGGATTTTTCAAGGTCACATGAGCTGCATTTCGAGGGAGAGAGAGAGAAAAAAAACAGTGGGGTGTTGAAAGACCATGGCTTTCTGTGTAAACATGTAAATCTCCAGCTGTGCAAATACAGCTGAAAATCGGCTATGCCATAATCATTTGATGCATTTCCGTTGAAAACGAACAAGTCCGGAAATATTCGTTGTAACACCACTACATATCCCGGCCTTCGTACTTAAAGTTGTCCCCATAAAATAACTGGGGAAGTGAATGATGCGAATGCAGGCGGAAGTGGACGAGCGTGCTAAAATGTGGTTCAGTACAAAAGTGACATCCAATTTTTTTTGTTTGTGAGGAAAAAAAATTGTAGACACCATTTAATGGAACATTGCTCAGCAAAAGATTTGACCGTCGTGCGCTGCCGCTTTCTCAGAGACCAAAGAAAGTTTGCACAGTCAGAGTCATTAAAACCAATGGTGGAAGGAAAAAGCTTGAAAATCAAGCGTTACTGGTGTATGTCCAGATTTGATGAAAAGTTTGTCTACAATACTAGCTGATTTCTTGCTCCACATTGGCCCATTCTGTAACGAATACCGGCTGTGACAGGACACACTTCTTGCAGGTTGCGCTATGGACGAACGAGGAACGGAATTCTTAAAAGCTGGGAGAGTGTCAACTGATCAACAGCCTAAAAGTATTATCCAGCTGGCATGTTACCTGCACTGATCATCCAGAGGAAGATCGTAAAAGCATAAAAGAACGCACTCCGTAAGCCTTAACTGTTTTTTATTCCCCATATAAGTGGATCACTCGAAGAAGGACCCATAATCGAGGACCCTCTGTGAAGGTGATGACAACAGAACAAGCAGCTCACTAGGATAGGCTGAAGCATATGAATCGTTCAGCTGTAATACCCTTGCGGTGTCTAGCTGCCATGCCACCCGGTGGAAGCACGAGGGCTGGGATACTGTCAGGTCGCCCAGGCCTAGACAGAGGGTGGTAGAGGTCGGGTTCGAACCACGGACCTTCCGGTCAGTAAATTTGCGCTCTAACCACTTGGGCCATCTCGCCCCCTGAGCATATGACCAGACGTGCTAACAGACAACTTGCAGAGCGACAATGCCTGAAGCAACGACGGCCAACCAACGGTGGTCGGTGGGGAAAGCAAAACTTTAAAGACCACCCAAGATAGCCCCAGAAATGTGAACAAATCGACGACATTGAAAGAGAATGGTAATTGTCAGGGTCAGAAGGGGATAATCATCTCGGGATCGGCGAGCAGAGGCGGTCGGGGAACAAGATAAGTTGAGTACGACCTGAAGAGGAGATAACCTCAGGCCTTATGTTTCCTCCAGATAGGGTGGCAGCTAGACAGTGAACGATTTTTGGACGTCACACTGACGGGCACGGCAAGTTGAGTATGGGCCGAGCGTAAACAGGAACCAGTGGAGCAAGAGATGATAGAATATGAGACACGAAGCTGAGCGACGGTCTCGACCTTCCTCAATGGAGGGAAGTTGATGTTTCCTTATAAATAACGGGGGGAATGCTGGAACAGAAATTCAGATTGAGGGTATTTGTAGTGTACATTAGACGGTTGAGCGTTAGCCATATCGAGGCCGGTATTGCGTGCGAAAAAGTTTGCCTTCGCCAAGGCTAGTCCGTTCGAATAACAGCATGGAGAAGAGCACGAATAAACCATTCGCCGAAAAAAAGAAGGAATGTGAGTGGTCTGACATATAGGACGGTAGCCATCTCTCCAACAAAAGTTGAAACATGGTCCGAAATACAAAGTCACCAAACATAATTAAAAATAACAACGATAATCATCAATAGATAATAAAAAGGTTTTCGCTTCCAGTCGACTAAAGAGTAGGGCCAGAAGGTATCACAGTTGGAGAGATGGTTACAGAGGCGAAGCTAAGTGGATACAAGGCATTGGAGCAGAGAGGCCGACTGGAGCAGATAAGCCACCAGTGCAGAAAGCAGGATGCAGAATGAGGATAAACAGAGGGTTTTTTTTACCCGAAATTGGTGTTGCAAGGGAATAGGGATAGGGAATTCGCAACAAAAATATTATTCCCCACGGTCTTGCATGCTGAGTAGACAAACCAATCAGAGCTGTTTGACCTAAACAGCTGACAGATCAAAGCTGAAATCCAGTAGGGAGCACAGTTGAGAAACATTGTCTGCATCGGAAGACCCATTAGTACAACTGCACGAATAGGTGGTCTGCTGAGCAAGTATCAGGGGAGGTAAAAAGGGAGGGGGCTAAAAGAGAGGCATGGATGTAAGCACAAATCATACTCGTGAAAAGGAAGCTGTGATGTAGAGAATAACTGGGAAATTATGGGTGAGCGAGGTCACAGATATTTGATCAGTTTATGTGAAGTGGAAGTAATGGTAATGGACCAAATTAAGGTAACTACGTAAAACATAAGTGTTGCAGACAGAGGCTGTCACCCATGGGTGTAGAGTGGTGAACTCCACAGTGGTTGGACCGTGTTGTTCGGGTTAGCCACGCATTATCCAAGGAGTGAGCAGTCTTGTGGAAGGAGAAGGTATCTATGAATTGAATTAGTCGTGCATGATACTATCAACTGCTCCACGAACTTCACGTCCGAATTAGTGAGATTTGCGGGGGGGGGGGCGGGGATGAAATTTCAGAAGATCTACTGAACGGAACGAACCGAACTTACTCGTAAGACCAAGTTTCCACAGGTAGACGGAGCCACCGACTTAAAATCGGGCTGGAAATGTCACAAGTATGGGAAGTCAAAACTGGCATGTCTGGCTGGACTGCAACAGCCGGATGGACTGGCTTATCCTCAGGATGCACTGACTCGGACACTTCCGTTTCCCAATCCATGGCAACTTCATCCGTGTCCCGGACGGAAGTCGAATCCTTGAGATAGGAGGACGAGGAATCCGATATGGCAGAAATCGAAAGCTGGTTTGGAATAAGTTGCGTGGGTGACCTCACAGAAGTTGAATGAGGTAGGGCGTCCAGGTCTTGGATGAAGTGAGCGGTACGCGGTTGGAGAGAGAAAACGAAGGAGCGATATATTATGAGGAATGTATAGCTCAGCACAACGCAAGCTTCATCCTGTACGTTTGTGACTACAGACTGACTAGCTTTTATCACAGCGAACACACCTTTGCAGATTTGTTGTGTGGAAACATTATTCACATTTGCTACGAGAGATGGACGATGCAGGTCCCTAAATTACCTTGAGCACTTGAGTTAGACGGTAGAAACCTAGTCTAGGAATCACGTTGTTAGTGGCACTTTGCTCTCCTAACACAATCGTATCATCGGGCCCACATTGGAAATGTCACTATCAGTTTGATATGAAAGTACACATACCGCGCATATACGCTACACACACACGTGGATGTTAGCGTATCGATCAAACATAGTGCAAGTAATGGCAGCCAAAAGGTTTCTATTATAGTGATCAGCCCGAAAACAAACCCGCGATTAAAAAAAAGAGGAGTAGTTTGTCCGTCCTGGCTCTTCACAATGCACGACCTCATCATCACATCAAGCGACATCAAGTCTCCGTTAAGGGGAACTAGAAAGAAGATAGACTGAAACTGTTCGCTCATGTAAAGAATTCTCCCTAGAGGGTATTTAATTTCCTGAGGCTCAGTGGTTGAAGCGAGAAGTTACTGACCGGATTGGTTCGTGGATCAAACCGGACCTCTGCATCTCGATTGCTCCTGTCTAGGCTTGAACAACCTGAGAGCAGCTCAGCCCTCGTATTTACTTCGGGTGACATGGCAGCTAGATGCCAGAATAGTATTGCAGCTGAGCAATTATTATTACACCATAAATAGATCTGAAACTATCCCGTTTCCTTAACTACTTCCTCTGCGAACCTGATTTCGCTTAAACACTTTACACACAAACGCCCGCTGTCTTTGTACTTACAGCTATTTCGGTTTCAGTTATCTTTACTGACGCATCCTCTGTTGGTTTCTTCAAACTGAGTGAATAAGATCACGGACTACCATTTAAACAACCCGGGTTCAAAGTCATACGGACGCGTTCTAATCGACTGTCGCCCATATATCGTTCCAGAAATGAGGGCGTAGGAAGAAACTGTTAAGCAACGCTCATGGATTCAACCAACTCTTTCAGAATAATTCGGCTATGTGCCGAGTAGAGTTCATCGAAACGGAAAAGGGGGGTATCACGAGAAACAACAAATCTCAATTCAAACAATTATTCATCATCAGGATTGAAGTAAGAAAGGGTTAATCCCGTATTTGATCAAGTCTGCACAGCTGATATCAACAACACGAGGATAAAGCGTTTCTCAGAGACAGGCGAAATCTCTATACCAGACTGAAAAGTGTAGGAGGGTTTCCGAGCACTCCCACGACAGGGTCATGAGGAGATGATCTAGTGTGCGGAGTGGCCATCTCTGAGCAAGCCATCCTTTACGAGTTTACTGTATGATCAGTCACGGGGCGAAGTGGACCAAGTGGTTAGAGCACGAATTTACTGACCGGAAGGTCCGTGGTTCGAACCCGGCCTCTCGACTTCCCCTGTCTAGGCTTGGGCAACCTGACAGTATCCCAGCCCTCGTGCTCCCTTCGTGCGGCATGGCAGTTAGGCACCGAAAGGGTGCTACAGCTGGACGATGATCAGTCATCCAATGACCACCATTGTTCGGATGCAGTGAGTAAAAAGCCAGTCCTCGTAAACAGTCGACCGCTCATCATAAGCAGTAAAAGCCGTGGTTTGGAAGGATTCAGAAAAATCCAGACACTCTATCAGTACCTTCGTTCTCGTAAGCACTACTATGCCAGTTACCCGTAAAAACACCCACCCGAACGTAGACGAGACGTGATAATTCGGCGAGGCGTCCGGTTATCCCTGTTCCGTGTGATTATCCGGTTTGGTATTATCACCATCATTATTGACAGCAACACCTGGAAAGAAGACTATTGCTTCACTGTCCATTTATTTGGATACCACCTTATTATGGCCTGAACTAACCAGATTAATCGTCTCGACACAGAAAGAGCACAAAATAGCATCGAGAATTCTACAAAATCCGCAGCTATCCGTCCTCATAGCCAACCGGTTTGCTTCCTACGCGTCAGCTTGACAGAGCCATTAGTGTGGCAAACAAACGGGCATTAAAACTCCCTTGGACTGACGGTGCCCATTGACCGCACAATGCTCTTCACGACTGGAGTAAATTTTTCGCGTCAAACTGTTGCGTATGTGCTCATACCAAAAACCCTTCTAATCTACGTTCACATTTTTGCAGCTCATCAAATTTCATTGTCCACTGGAGCAATCATACCTCTGGCGGAAAAGTCTGATGGAATAATTCCCCAGCGTTGTTGAGACCCCGAGATGCCTAAATGGAGCTCAAAAGTTCGGACTGGTACTCTAAGCCTAATTGTCTGAATACTTTAGTCCAACAAGGACACGTCATAGGCTTCGAAAATTCCATTTCGTTGTGCGAATACTGAGTGGCTGGGTTGACAAAAATAACTGGAATATTTTTACAAAGCTACGGGTGATTCCCAATACAGCCAATGCGTCGCACGTTTGATCCAACATGAACGCCCGATTGTAGCGTTTCGTTTGGTCCATAAGGGGTGACAATCGACAGTACATGCTAGAAGTACCATTAATCCCAGAATTACCTAAAGAAGCACCAACATCTGGACGGTTGTCATGCGGGCATAGTGGGATGAGCAATGCTCACAGAAAGCCGTTGCTTTCTCCAATCCACCACAGGGCTAATCCTAGTCAGTTTAGTTGGTTGTTCACAAACCACGTATAAGTAACGGATACTATGACCAAGCGTCTCACAGTTGTGTGTGAGATAAATTTAACACAAAGCGTAATCGATAAGCCGATCTCTACTGAGGCACATCAGAGTGAGGCGCTGCACTAACCATACTCATTTCTATTCAGGTGGTAAAAATAGTCTTGTATTATACACTGAACCACAACTGTAGTAGATCAAATTACAATGACAATGCCTGAGAGCAGAGAAAGTACACTTCGATCCGTAAATAGAACAGCATCGTTGTTCACAACCGTGCTCCAATCGGTAGCCAACAAAGAAAGGGATGTTACTAGCCAAATATCATCATACATATATGACTATTTATACACTTCTGATGAAGGCCACAGTGTAGTCGTGGAAAAAGAAAGAACTCGGTGTTAATAGTATTCACAGATCAGGAAGAATATCAACTTTATTGCGGGATGGAGGCAGTGATACAAAACGAAAGACGGTGCTTACATGTTTTGATTTTCGACTTAACGCTCAATGTCGCCAGGTGGGTCGGAGTGTCATGGGTTCCATGGGCGCCGATTGGGAAACGCAAGGAAGCCTGTCAAAATAAAACAGGATATAGAATGGACTCAGTCGAGAAAGATTTTCTGTAGCGGTGACAAGTCCGGTTGGTTGACATAAAAAAGCCAGGCTTATAGGTTAAGTGCTTTCGCAAGGAGGAATGCACGAGTGACCGGAAAAGAGTATCGCGGAGTTGTAGCAGCCTAATATTAAACTCTCATCAGAGGCCCTAAGTAGTTGTGTGCATGCTACAACTATCAGACCCAGATGAGATCAACAATATTACCTCAACTTGTGGTACTGGTCAACCGCGAGTAATCGAAGGAAAGCTCAGTGGCGACCAGCTAAGGCCGTCACTCACCAAGCTACGTGCTCCTCGTTTGCATCCAATGCCGGTTATACTCATGCCTTTGTACACGAGACTACACTGCACAATCCCAACTCTTGCCGTTTTCAGCGTCTTGCCTCATTCTGGTTACATAATGAACGTACGTAATGACCATCCACACACTGAAGATCGAATTCGTGAACAGTGATGATTCCCTTTCGCCCAGTCGCGCTGAGTACTTTCGAATATCTGCACGTCTTCCTTACTCCCTGTCATCTCATTTATACCCCATGCTATACATCGATTCTCTTTCCACTACTAAAATCTTCCATCTGACCCCTCCTTAGTCTACCAATTTGTCACGTCTTTCCTCTTAGTCTCGGGCCAGACTGTCTGCGACCCAGTGATGTGAGACAGGCTGACTGTTGTTTCGCTCCCTAAAACTCTTCCACAAGGCATAGCTACTAATTACATACAGCTACCAAACTCGGCCTCCACAGTGCCTCCCCCGTGCTTCCCCGTTTTATCGAAAGTACACAAAGTATTGGTCTGAACGCATGTCATCCGGTCCTAACATTCACGGTTCATCGTGCCTCTTCGTTTGTGGCCACAACTTGTCAAACCGAAACCCCCAAATGCTACAAAGAACGCTTCTCTTGTTCGTTTAGTCGCGAACTGACCGATCCGAGGACAGTCTCCCTCCTTACGTTTTCCAAAGTGCAGGCAATCATTATCCACCTAATTGTTCAATTCTTCCTGACCTCACAGTGCGCGAATACCCTTCCAAAGGCTAAGGTATAATTTTGGGTCTCATGCTACAATTAATCATCCCTACAGGAAGTCTCTGACAGCAAGTTCTCGAATCCCTTTCGGCCCACTAAGTGATCATCAGAAAACTGAGGAATCGGTAGATTAGATCCAATGGTCACGATGTCTGTTACTCACACTGACGCTACTCAAGTTGCACAAGGATACGCCTAGGCTAGAGGGGTTGCATAACCAACTAGATAGTAAGTAGTGTCCGGAACACGGACCAACACAAATCCATCAGGATTCTGCTTACGTTGAGCCGCGTGGGCCGACCACACTAAAACAAGCAAGTACAAACCTAGCGAGAAGTGACCCATTTGGATGTGCCGAGATTACCTGTCCGGGGGCAGGAGCTCCTTTCGAATCCACTCGGTCCCCAGAAGATCCGCTGGAATCCATCACGAATGGAGGTTCCAGCAACGGTTCCAAAGGAATAGAGCGTGACCCACTGAGCAGTCCGATCGAGGTTGTGGTCGACTGCAAAGTTCGATAGTCTAAACTGTGACGGCGTGGACTTATCGTAGAAGAGGCAGGAGGTAAAACTGAGGATTGATCCGATCGTAGTTGTGGGTTGTAAACTTGCTGGTTTTCAAGTCCAGTCTTGTCCAGCAGAAGGCGAGGTAGTAGTTGACGGAGTGGCCAGGAGTTCTGTAGGCAGAAAGTAGGGAGACATGGCTGAACATGCGTTAGAGAAAGGAAAGCTGTCCAGAATGGAGAATATCCCAAAGATTAGGACAATTCTGTTTCGAAACCGCCAGTGGAAAGATATATCAATGGCACAGGAAAGACACCGTCGGCGGAGCAAAACGTGACAAATAGTGCAAACGGACAATCACAAACAACAGCACACGTGTACACAAATATTTCAAGCGCATAAACAGTAACCAGAAAACATAGGAAAACTGAAACTGCAGCGGTGTGCAACTGAAAATGGGGCATTTCAAGCCTGACACAGTCCACGATAGCATAGACACGATTCCATCTCAAAGGGTATGACAAAGATCGTCACGTTTCGCAAGCATACAACCCAAATTGACAACCAAAAAGCCTTTCCGCGCCAAGAAATGCATAAATTATGGGGGAATACTGGCATGGGAAGCAAGTAAATGTCGAGCGGAGACAAATGCCCCATCAGAGAAACGTCAGGAGGTGAAGAGACGGTGTAGCACTGGTGTGTGGTGATGACAAAGCGGAAATAGACATTCACATTGGAAAGAGAAACGTTAGGTGAGCACATGGTTTCAATGATTCATCTTCCGGCCAGTACAGAACAAATGAAGGATGGAACGTAGTAAAAGTGAACCGATTGCACTAAGGTACACGTAGGACCAGAAAAATCTGTGTTGGTCAAGACACATAGCTAGTTACCTGAGCTACACGGTGGATAGGATCTGGTGTATGCTGAAGTTAGACGTTGAACACCTTGCCAGTTCAGCTGATGGGATGGGACGAATGTTTTTATTGCACAAAGTTCGGGTGTAATAGCAATAGCGTGAGCGATCGCAAGGTAGCCTGATCACTTTGGACAGGTTTTGTGGCACCTCATACACAAGCTGTGATAAACTGTTATGTCAGGTCGCCCGAGCCATGGCTGAACATGCGTTAGAGAAAGGAAAGCTGTCCAGAATGGAGAATATCCCAAAGATTAGGACAATTCTGTTTCGAAACCGCCAGTGGAAAGATATATCAATGGCACAGGAAAGACACCGTCGGCGGAGCAAAACGTGACAAATAGTGCAAACGGACAATCACAAACAACAGCACACGTGTACACAAATATTTCAAGCGCATAAACAGTAACCAGAAAACATAGGAAAACTGAAACTGCAGCGGTGTGCAACTGAAAATGGGGCATTTCAAGCCTGACACAGTCCACGATAGCATAGACACGATTCCATCTCAAAGGGTATGACAAAGATCGTCACGTTTCGCAAGCATACAACCCAAATTGACAACCAAAAAGCCTTTCCGCGCCAAGAAATGCATAAATTATGGGGGAATACTGGCATGGGAAGCAAGTAAATGTCGAGCGGAGACAAATGCCCCATCAGAGAAACGTCAGGAGGTGAAGAGACGGTGTAGCACTGGTGTGTGGTGATGACAAAGCGGAAATAGACATTCACATTGGAAAGAGAAACGTTAGGTGAGCACATGGTTTCAATGATTCATCTTCCGGCCAGTACAGAACAAATGAAGGATGGAACGTAGTAAAAGTGAACCGATTGCACTAAGGTACACGTAGGACCAGAAAAATCTGTGTTGGTCAAGACACATAGCTAGTTACCTGAGCTACACGGTGGATAGGATCTGGTGTATGCTGAAGTTAGACGTTGAACACCTTGCCAGTTCAGCTGATGGGATGGGACGAATGTTTTTATTGCACAAAGTTCGGGTGTAATAGCAATAGCGTGAGCGATCGCAAGGTAGCCTGATCACTTTGGACAGGTTTTGTGGCACCTCATACACAAGCTGTGATAAACTGTTATGTCAGGTCGCCCGAGCCTAGACAGGAGCAGTCGAACCACGGACCCTCTGGTCAGTAAATTCGTGTTCTAACCACTGAGCCATCGACTAGATGAGTTAGAACAGAACTCTAGATCTCGGCTCTATCTACCAGGGCGAGCTACATAACCCAGATAATCAGCTGTGTTAGATCACCTTTTCCTTGGCTGTAACGCAGATTTTCCTATCGTAACTGGTTCATTTTTGTTACGTTCAATCCATACTAAAATTGATGCATGAGGCACACATGATGGGATTCACCTCGCGCGTGACTGGAAACCCTACAGTCGGCTGTTGCTCCTTGGCTGAACTGCATGTATGTCGCTGTGTGCTGCGCTTGTGTTGGGTGAGGTTCGCAAAGCACACTAGGCCATTTCCACTGATGCCCGCTAACATAATGCTCATCCCACTGGTCTTGAAGGACGTCATCGCTTTTGGCCGAATTCTCTCTAGAGAAACAGGGCCTTTTACAATAAATCCGCACTCCTTCAATTGCTTTCAATACTTTACGAGTGCCCTTTACCTCCACGTTGGCCGAATGAAGTAACAGTTTCCACTTCTGGTATATTACTGCCTATGATGAAGATGATGGTGAGTCGACTCTGGTCACAGAATAACAGTAATAATAATAATGATAAACGTATTCCGCACACTGTACAAGGTGTCATACTGTTTCTACATAGATCTCAGACAAGATAGCAATAAGATTTTCGCAGTCCCACAATCTGTGCTTCAAAAACGGACTAAAACAAAGCCACCAGATATTCAGGTCGCTTGTTGACGTGGAACATTACGAACAGAACGGTACGTGCTACTTAGTACGCAAGTGTGATCTCCTGACGTGAGCATACCGCTTTGTAAATGTGTGTTCACAAACTTCTTCCGTGCTTTGTACTTATTCATCATTTGTACCTGAGTAGCTGAAGCAGAAGCGGTGATAAACTACTTGCTTCGTTTTGCTTATTCTCTGTGACACTCCGGGAAGTATCTGTTGTGTTAACCAGGAAAATTTGCATCAGTGGTGATCATCAATCAACAGACTGCATCACTTCAACTTCAGCTACGAGACAGCTAATCACGCTGACCTTCTGCATCGTCTGTTGGTTGTCGTCATTACAAAAAACAAAACACGTGGTTACAAAGCCCCTTTCCACGAACGTTGAAGAAAAAGAACATTGGCACGAGACCACAGAGGCCAGTAGGAACGGGGAAGACATGGCCTGTATTGCCTCAATGAGACTAAATATAACCCACCTGTCTGGTCTATGAAGAACGAAACAGGATAGCAAAAAGGCGAACGGTGAGGTTAGCATAAAAACCCAAGAAAGATAACTCCATTACTGCATAGATGTCTTGCATGTTGTATCCATGGAAGCAATCAATTCTTATTCACTTCACACCGCAAGTGTAGCGCAAAATCAGGGGTGATCGTCCGCTATTTGTCGGATCCACTCTACATTGATGTTCTACATAAGATACTCATCAGTGAGTGGGACTCAACCAACCCAATGAAACAAACAGGTCGACCACCTGTAGACCGGATTAGGTAGGGCTGACCCAGTGGCGAGCGTTCCGAAGGGAATCACATATAACGATGGGATGCTTGCGTAATAAGAGCGAAACCAAGGATGAGTGGTTCTTTGGTTGGCTTTCTGACACGGTGGTCGAGGATTTAACAAAGTATATAAGAGGTTGATAGGATGCTGTGGTTAGGAGGGAATCTCACTCTAAGCATTCCTAAACTACGGTTGCGTCCAAAAGCCAGAGTTATTAGTATTCACCTGAGGGGAATAGACCATAAAACAAAGTTTTTCAGACGATAAACTGGATGAAGATCAAAGTGAAATCGAAGCGCTAAAGTAAACGTTACTAGTTGATAATTTGTCAAAACCGGATAGGTTGAACCGGATAGGTATGAACAGAATTACCGAAAGGCTAGGTTGGATCAAGGCATCAATGGAAGTGCTAAAACCAGCCACGGGAACAATATACGCACAATCGGTGCGATGCATGAAAAAGCTTGATGCTCTTCACCGTCCAATGATGGTGCTTCACAGCCGAGAACGATACTCGTTGGCATACAAGTGTTAGTGCTGGCGTGAACCCGATAAGCAACGACTAGGGCATTGTATATGACAATGCTATCTGTCACGCGCGTTCAGGTCCTAAACTCCGCGACGAACACGTAACGATGTGCAACTCACGCACGTACTCAGCCACACGGGACCCGATCTAAACTATTTGGAGTGCAGAGATGCAGCCAGACACGCGTTAAAAGTGATCCATATAATGTCCCTGCCAAAGAGTATCACTCAGAAAACTAACGTCTGCACAGCATTTCACATTCTCAAAATGCTACTAATTCACTCATCCGAAAGGTCTACAATTCTGTTTTGTTGTATGAAGGTATCAAATAACTTGGAATTTACACTCGCTGTTCTTTTACATTCCCGTCAGAACGTGGCCTCTAGACAGACTGCTAGTTGAAGGCGTTATTGGGATTCCGAGCGCTCATCATACACCAACTGAGTCGTTAACATGGATGCTACGTGGAAGTACTTGCTATGTGGACTGCATAGTTGTGCACGTCCCAAATTATTTAAGGGTACATAGAGAAGATGATGTGGTCCATAGTATTATGTATAGGTGAGTACAAACCAGTGCGGCCTAACCTTCCCGTGACTGTCCTCCTATGTGTCTCGCGCAGTGTAGGCCGTGAGCTTATTTTATTTCAAACGAAAACGTACACACAACAATTTGTTCTGTTGGTTGATTACACTACTCACGTTGTTGGGACTCGTGTGACAGAGCATAGTGAATTGGTCTGTTTCAGCTATCGGTTCTCTTCCAGTAAAAAAAAATCACACCATTTTCAAGCAGAAAAATGCAAACTGAATCGCAGGTAGTTTGCTGTACCACCCGCGTTCATTATGACAAGTCGCTCGACTTAATGGAGATGGTCGACAGCTATTTTTGCTCATAAACCTATCCAGACAAGTGGTGATCGATCAGTGTATCGTGTGGAGACGAATTAGTGCAAATTGTTTTAGTCATCCATCTCATTGTGTTTGGGCATAAGCGCAGCGTATGTAACTTCATATACGGTGTACAATGTACCCTCTTTACCTCTGCAAAAAAGAGAACATTCGATGGACCAAGTGTTCCAGTGGCTGGGGGGCCGAGATACCATATGACAACGGAGTCAAAATCCGACTCAAACAGCTAATCTAAAAGGGAAAAAACTATTATCCGTTCGTATATCAAAGTGTTTTAACTAAAGCAGAAGCTGTTTGAAGTAGAAATAAAGCTTAAAAGAGGGGTGCTACTTAACGTTGCAAAATACCACTGAATGCTTGAAATCAGTTTGCAGTGTTTCAGTCGTTCGCTGTCTCCTTTCTTTTGCGGAAATACTTCTGAATCACGGAAGAAAGTCGCGTGCTCATCGCAAACTGTACTCTTGACAGAAGTCGTATAACCCATTCAAAGCCACAGGAAATGGAATGCTGAGGACAAGGAGGATTCTCTGTTTACCCCACCAGTTGGTCAACTTGCGGAAGGACACCACATGTCATTAACAAGCAATAAAAAGTGTCACCAACCTAATAAAAGTTCTGGATGTTTGCGACCCAGTTCTGTAACACTTGGAAGAGATGAAATGTAAGCTACACAAGACTAAACTTCTTGAGGACTCAATAACCTAGGCAATTGGGAGGCACCACCTAGCGGCTCCACCGTCCGGAGAGATGAGAAAAGAGTAGTTGAAAGTTGGAAACAAACTCGCCTCCAGGAGATCGGGTTCCGACAATGTCTTTCGAATATCTGTGCTGCCCAAGCCAGCAGCCAAATGCAATCGAGTAAGGAGTGACTCCTTCAACTGTGCACCGGTATGCGAATCTTTCAGAGCCAAGTGACCGGTGAGATGTTCGATAGCATCCAGAATTGCTTGGTCCTCTGACGTGGATCCAAGATAGGAACGATGGCTGGGGAGTAGCGCATCGGTTGCGGAGGATCTGCGAGGTCCCAGATTGAGGCGAGGAGGGTCTGTGTTAGAAGGGAGCTCAAGTGAATCGCGGCGGAAGTCAGATCCTTTGGGTCAGTGGGGATAACAGGGCATAATAAAGGAATAAAAAAATAAGGGAATAAGAATAAACTGAAGCTCTGTTGGTGCAAAAAAGGAAAGTGAAAACATACGACAATAATGCAGTGAACTCAACACTCGCATCGAATGTTCAAAGGCTGTCTACAGGTAGACGAACACATTCGTCGTGTTTCGATCGAAACGTCAGATGAATAAGAGTAGCAGTTGAGCTACGGCCGGAACAAATAACAGTCACTGCTATGAGAAGCAAAATAAACATCACTGTTTACGAGAGAACAATCCAAATATCCTCTTCAACTCTCCACTTTGTTCCATCTTGCAGTGCGCACATAAATCCCCCCCAACTGAGGAGTTCAGGCATTCATACTACTGGAAGATATTAAGGTCAGGATATTTGTCAGAGGCAGCAGAGTTTTATCATTGGATTTATATGATGAGTGGGCTAGTACCTAACAGGGCGCACAAATATGATGGTGGGCGTGAACGAGATTCCACCCGAATGACCACCTACCATGAATAAGGGAATCCTCGTCTTTCGATGTCGCTGAGTCAGCACTGTGCCAATACCGTCCTCCCTCCGAAAACTGATCATGGGTAGAGGAGTAGTGTAGGTTTACAGGAGCTGGGAGTGAGGAATTGAACTTTTCTTCCGCACGACGACATCGTTCCATAGGCGTCACGCGTCTGCGACGGTTAAGAACGTAGGCTCTAAGACGTTGTTTAACCTAAAATGAAGGGAATCACGGGCGATAGAGACAGTCTAGTTCATGGATTCAAAATATGATGCATTGAATCCAGATCCACGAACTACAACACGGACACGCTAAACAACAGATATTGCTTCTCACACCACCAGATTTAATGAAATGAGATCGACTACCATCGCGTGTAAAACGATTATCCTGGAAGAAGTTTGAGAAAGGTCTTCCTGTAGACAGGCTAGCATCAAGGACAGTAAATGTGAGTTTAGAAGCAAACTCTAGATAAAAGAACGGATTAGGGAAAGGTCACTATGCCGCTCTATCACAGTAACTATGGTGTCAAACGCGTGCTCGAGACAGCTCAGTGGTTAGGGTGTGAACTTACTGACCGGAAGGTCCGTGGTTCGAATCCGACCTCGTCCTCTCGACGGTCTCTGTCTAGGCTTGGACAACCTGGCAGTATCCCAGGTATGGCAGCTAGGCACCGAGAGGGTGTTACAGCTGGACCATGATGAAGATAATCTAGACACGTTTCCACCCCAAACGACTTTAATAAGGGGGAGCAAGACACTGTTAGTGTTTCTTTACATAATAATTCCAATTTGAGATATGGAGAGCTACACAACATAACATTTGTAGAATAGATATTGGGGGGCTAGACTGGCGTCTTTCATGTTGTTATTGAGGGGAAAATTGTTTTTCGACAAACTAGACGTTAGAAGATAATCCACATAGACCTGAATTGGAAAAAACATGGAGATAGCTTCCCAACCCATAGAAGATAATCCACATAGACCTGAATTGGAAAAAAACATGGGGATAGCTCGGTTCCCAACCCAAACGATCGACAAGCCAGTTGATTAAGCTAAATGATCCGCACCAAAGTTGATTCCGGTGACCTCTCCTAGTTAGTTGTGCGATCCGACCGACCCAGATGAATGGAAGATCGGTTCCATCACTATAGTTAACAAAAGTCTGGCGGTTGTCAATTTCTATGGTCTCGGTAGACAAACGCTCCGAAGTCCATGTGTAGAACATGTATATGAGCGAATTCAACCCAATGATTGTGCTCAACTGAATGCAAGGCTATGGCAAAGCCGTACTCGAACTCCGTTCTTTCTGTCAAATCTCGAGGTAGGAATATGGCATGACGTTCGCGTTCCGCTATTCGTTTCTCCAGTTGCCCGGTCGTTTGCCCAATACATTTGGTCGGCATTTTGTGCAGTGTAATTTGTGCGGTGTCGTGGAGCTATAGGATCTTTTGCTCTTACAGAGTGTATTTTTGAGAACGTTGTCAGTTCGGGAATACGTCTGCTTTATGAGGTTTAAGATTCTATTGATAACATCAGAGGCTCCGAACCTACAGGATATATCAACTAAAGCCGGAAGTTCATTATTTTTTCCGTCCTTCTGATACGAAGAACGATCTTGAAATCTTTTGTCTGAAGAACGTTTGGGAGTAGTTATTTTTAGAGTATCTTGTTCCGTAAGACAAGATCGTTCTTCTTTAGAATCATCCAAGAAGTCTCTTGAATTGATACGATAAAAAGTAAAAACTGCACACTTAGACGGACTCGTAAAACTGAGTCATTTTTCAGATACAGTACACTGACCACTTTCAAGAGACTAACCAAAGGCGAGGAATTCAGATTCGAAACTGGTGATTGGGCAACGAGACAATCGACTTCACATCTGAGAGACTACGGGCTGCTATGTATACTAGATGCAATCTTTGAATTGATACGATAAAAAGTAAAAACTGCACACTTAGACGGACTCGTAAAACTGAGTCATTTTTCAGATACAGTACACTGACCACTTTCAAGAGACTAACCAAAGGCGAGGAATTCAGATTCGAAACTGGTGATTGGGCAACGAGACAATCGACTTCACATCTGAGAGACTACGGGCTGCTATGTATACTACATAGATGCAATCTAAAGATAATGACAGCCAACCACCCTACCCACACCTCAACAGCGCACTATTTTAGAAAGGTGATAAAACGTCCGCAAATCGAACGCTAAGCTTGGCGAATAGTGAAACAGCAACAGGAAATCATCACTGATAGAAATAAATCAATAATACATAGTGGTGGTTAACTGCCACAAAACCATGAGAGAAAAATGGTTTAGTAAAGAATTGGAAGAAGATGGAAGGGTAATGGAAGGGTAAGGAGTTCGAAATCTGTCAGGATGCACTAGCGTGGATGGGCTATATAGTATATAGTGAAACTTTATAGAAGGTGGGTCACGATAGCGGCAACTTCATCAGCTACATCTAAATGCTCAATACCTCCAAAGATAGACCGCTCCCCGGACAAAGGAAAAACCTTCTCCTTTCAACGTAGCCCATTGTCAATATATCAAATTGATGCTAATCAATGTAGGCACCCAAAGAAGGACGTTCCCATGTGGTCGAAATTGGCCCTAGGACTGAACATGGGCAATAAAGAACGACCGAAACATCAAACTTAATTTACCTGGGAAAAGCGGCAAAATTTGGTTGTTGAGACGACATGGTAGGCACAAAGCTATTGAGTAGGAATCTTCCAGAGAGCGCATATAAGACCAGTCACGTCCTCCCTTTTTTGGCGCGTACACACGCGGTAACAGCCGCTAGGAGTGACATTATCCGATAGGTAGTGCCTGGCAGCAGACAAGACAATCGCGTACCAGACAGAAAAAAGAAATTGTCTTTTTCAGATATTGTAGGTTGTTAGTTATGTCAGCCAGAAAAAGTGTGTATGTATGCACGGCCAATCGAAGTACCAGCCGCTCCAGACTGAGCTCAACGGAGTGTATCAACGCAGCAGATAGGCAAGCGGTCTCCAGAGTGCGTCAGAAGCGAAATGGGTGGGTTTGTTTCAAGAATAAGCACGATACGGATAAATTTTTTAGAAAGTCAAAGCGGATCTGATAAATCTTGCTATGATAAACCCAACGGCACATAGGATGGACGAAACGGAGGCATTTTGGTCTTTTTTCCTAAGGCATGTTTTTCGTTGATTTTCCACACGTTTCATGATCCCACCAGCAACTAACCACTTCTCAATATGTCCCATATTCATGACATCACACCACCAAAAAACAACAAAGTAACCTAATAACCGTCAGAACTCCTCTGTTCTCTAGGAGTTACTCGCCACAGGATATGGAAAGAAAATGAGAAAAGCGCGAATAACACAAGAAAAGTGCAGGCCGATTGACGCTCACTCGTGCCAAATTGTTACAAGTTTCCTGCTCCATCACCTACAGCAGTTACATGACGTAGATTTGGGTACAATGCCATACAAAGATATTGTCATCGTAAGAGCAGACAACAGTGGGACAATAAGATAGGCGGGTATGGTGAGCGAGTATTGTTTCAGTTGAAAGTTTACGGATATGAGGTGACACGTGATAAGATACGTCAGCGATTTCTATTTCCGCCTCCTGCTCAACCAAAGCGCATGATGAGTATGCCGGGCAATCTAAAGTACAGAATAACGAAACAAGATGACAGATAAAAATGACGTGGCAGGAATACGGAGCCGGTAACGAAGAATTTAATTACTGTTGACACTAGTCAACCAGAAAGACTCAATACATGACTGCTAAGCGACCCCCTGACGTTTTACGTGTTGATATTCTTTATTTAGTGATCGTAGCAACACCATGTTGCTCGACCTGCGAAGACACTGCGGAAAATTTTAACCATCATCCGAACTGTCACGCAGCCCCAGCCTGGAATCGGTTCTCTCTTCCAGTCGAAAAATAGTCGTTCAGCTGTAACACCCTTCCGGTGCTCAGCTGCCATGCAACACGAAGGAAGCACGACGGCTGGGATACTGCCAGGTTGCCCAAGCCTAGACAGGCTAAGTCGAGAGAAAGAGGTCAGGTTCGAACGACGGACCTTCTGGTCAGTAAATTCCCGCTCCGACCACTGAGCCATCTCGCTCCAGTACCTGAGTATCTTAGTGTCTCGTCAGATGTGTAGGTTTTGTGTTAAAAACATGAACCGAAAGAAAACGGCGTTCATTTATTTTTCTGTACTTTATGAGCAGACAATGACCTTCATAAGTCACAGCTCAGTAGGCTCATCATCGATTAGCAAGAAGAGCCATGTGGGTTTTCGATTCACTTCTTGCCCCTATTTCAAGTCCGAGGCATTTATAACACCAAGATATCGGCTGCGGTTTAGACTGCCCTTCCCCGGTGGAAGAACTTTCAATGTCTTAACCGGGACTTCGAACCAAACGTGTGCAATCTGGCGCATTTGGGTCGATTGAAGACCGGTGTCTCATGGTGAAATACTCACTAAAACAACCATCCAGGTACCATTATAAAAAACAGCAGCTGGAGCACACCACACTGTGCTGTTTATTTGGTTAACGTAACACCACAGAAGCGTAGTTTCTCTGAAAACTTCATATTTGCTCCCTCACTGTTCGACGGATGGTGGTCTCTGTGGTTGCCATACACGTGAGCAAGAATCGACCACACGATGAAGTCCGTTCAAGCTTCGTTGATTACGCCTCGTGTGGAAAACATGCGAGTTCGCTTTGGGAAATCTCAACCGTGAAGCCCCTTCAAAAAATTTGAATCAAAACTGACATGTGTGATATGCCATGGGCACTAGGGCTGTCCTTGAGTTGGCTTGAAACTCAAGACAAAGTTACACCTATTCGGCATGCAACTTTCAGGAAATTGAAAAAATTTTCTATTAAGGAATCCAAACGGAATCCAAGCAACAATACAGGTGTATTTGTATGCGACCGAAACACATAGTCCCCTTATAATTAGATAAGTGCTTCGAAAATTAAGCTAGAGAGATCATGGCATCAAGTAAACGTAGACTTCATGCTGATGCACTGATGCATTAAAACTGCAAGCAGCGAAACGTTGATACTGTCTAGGAACCTGAAGGGCATCGGGCTAGAATTGATATAGAAGGGAGGGGGTTGAAAATCAGGAATTGGAATCCAGATGTACATTATGCAAACGAAGACCAGCAATGGAAGCCCACGCCAAGACCTCTGTTGACCTAACGCAGCGTCCGCGAAAGAGTAATCTCCGATTTTTTCCTACTATTTTTATTTGGAATTCAAATGTGAAAAATCCAAAAAGCAGGGAATTCAAGTCGATTGTCATATCGTTGGGGCTTATTTGTCGAACACAGAAGATCGATGGACGTCAACCAACGCAGAGCCAACCGGAAGAAGGGCCGATCGCAATCGATTACTTTGAACATCCAATAAAGCGTGTGGACGGTAGCGAACGATATCGCTTACCCATTGTTAAGAACCCACGACATTGTACTAATTAACTTGGAACGTCTTTGAATCAACCAGTTCTTTTCTTCTGATCGTTTCCCGAGCCGACGTATTCCTGTGTTACACCGGTAGTTCGCACAGGTCTGATCGCAAGTTAACCAGATTAGAAATGAAGTGCTCACGCTTCACTACCAAGGCTACATCGGTAAGACTCTGCTTTAGTGGGAATAAAACATCGGGACACAAGTAAGCAGTTGGAGTGTAGAGAACAGTGGGTACAGGACTGGAACCACCACATTCCACCTGAGTTTGGCTGGTGAAATGCACTGAAACATACTGTACGGGCGAAAGTCAGTGGCGTTACCTGTCTGCTTTAGAACGCGCCCAAGTAGATTGAATTCAGAATTTAAGAAGGAACATAGCACTCAGTAACTGCGCCATCGTACCAACACGTCAGCGCAACAGCAGACACCTCAAGGTCTGAAACATGGACGTGCCTAGGTAAGTTTCTTCTATGAAGTCAGCTCATTCGGGCTGCAAATGCACTGTCACGGGAAAAAAATTAGAAAGAACAGTACAAAGGGGACACCAAAGAGCTAACTTCTAGGAAAGGATGGTCTACAATCAAATATTCTTGTTTAATTTGCGAGCTACATACCCAGAAACATGTCCTTTCAAGTTCGGATGTTTTTTGCACAAGGTTGCGATGGCCCGATGAGAATCACAAAAATGTCTTGTGAGATATCTGTGCGGTGTTGAGAAGTCCCAAGGGATGCTTCAACTCTGGAACGAAACCCGCAGCGTTACACTAGTCCGATAAGTCTTGACTTATCATCGAGCTCTCTATGGTCTTTTACTGAAAATTTTGGAATCGCCATAGTGTCAACTCAGGAATTTTATCGAATACATCTCACGAAAATGCCGAGACACCCCAACGAGAAAAACGCACGGAACCAAATGATCTCCAGAGGTGGTAAATTTATTCACCGACAAGAGGAACGGTACGGAATTGATAGCCCTACACTGAAGGCGATGGCCTAGGCAACATGTTGGGAGCAAAAACTGGGACGAAATGGAACTAAGCTGACATCTAGTCCATTGGCAGGAATTGACTAAGGGAGATCAACATTGGAGGGAGTCACTCTAGCATAGAGACTCTGTTTACGACCTAACTGAGTCATGTCATTAAGTGCCCATAATTGTCGATGAGTCAAGTCAATGGATCGCCATCCAGGAAGACTTAGTCCAGCGATGACGGTTTTGATGAATTTTCAACTTTACAAACCACTGAGTGTTTCATTTGTAATCTATATAAAAACAAAACATTGTTGGGACAGAAGGTTCCCTGACGTTCTGGGTACGTGCTCTAACACGAAGCCCGACTAAGTAAGCTAGGGTGCTTACGAAGGCAACCTTGCTTAAACTTACAGGCATAGTTGATCGATTCTAGAGCTCCATATCCGCCTTCTAGGTGGCCATTTCCTGTCTGTTCCCACGAACTACCCACATCTGAAACTCGTTAGCACTCTAGAATTCCATGTCACAACACCAAAATTTCTAGAGAATGTTCGGCTTGAAGGGGTAGCCATCTCTCAAGTTCAATTCTGTCATTTATGAATTTTGATCACAAGTTATATTTTCCTAGTGATTTATAATCCCAAGGACTGAAACCACACGTGCAATCATTCGCAATATACTTGTCGCAAAAGCTCAAGTCCATAGAATGGAGTCGGCGGGCGAAACACTGCAAACTTTGAAAGCACTAACCTGGGTGGATGACAAACAACCTTCACCGCCATGATCGAACGAGGGCTGCCGAGATAAGGTTCGAGTCCAGGAAGCCCCTGGTGGGCAATCACCTGAGGCAATCGAAGGACGACAGCCAGGATGTGCCGTACTGAATGTAGAGTTCTGTGAGCTAGAGAAGCTGGTCGAGGTGGCGCTGGCCGTGCTACTGATTGATGGACTGTCACCGTTGGAAATAGAACCCGGCAAACCAGCCATAGAATGCATAAAGAGAATGAAATTAAGGCTGAAACGAAAGAAGAGAAGGTGGGTCGATTGCAAAATGATAAAGTACTGTATCTTACCGTTGTTTCACGCACAAACAAGCGAGGCAGAGCATGATTTGTGTTGTTTCACGCACAAACAAGCGAGGCAGAGACTTCATGGGTCCGTAGGAAATGGAGGTAGATTCCGAGTAAGATACACCCGCTCACGTTATATGTCCCGGCAACATTCTTCAGCTGATTGGGAGGGCATTCGCTAACTTCTCTGAGCTTTTTCGTAAAAGTGCTATTCTCCTGAGGATCTTTTAACGTCTGTTCAGTCATGGACGTTCCTTATATTCCTAGAATCCAGCATTCCCCTTGCTTTTTTATATCAAGCGAGCAAGCGTCCCATCCCCATTCAGCCAAGAAGTATGGATCTTCTCACAAGTGCTGACCATCCTGCTGACGGCAACTTTAATGAACTTGCAGTCGGTACATCCAAAGACGTTTATTGTTAGGAAGGCCAACGAGCTAATGAGAGCGCTAACCGAAAATCGGTCAATGTGGGGACTGTCCGGAGTCAGCTAAAACTTGCCCACTAAAAGTTGCCACCTCACATTCAACGTGAAGGTCAATCCCCAAGGCAATATGATGGAAAACCGGCGAGCTCCGCTTAATTTTTTACCACCAGTTCTTTCACACATCAAAAATTCAAAACTGTCCACCTTCTACTATAAAACGCACTTCCCATCACCTACAAGTACTTCCGACCCAAAGCTGTCACCTTGTCATAATGGTCGGGCTTCTGTGCTGCAATGATCCTGTGGGCTATGCTGGCTGGAACTAAGTTCCCAAAGGTTCAACCGTGCCAGGAATGCCAACGGGAAGCAGACCGAAGAGGAACAGCGAGTCCCCGTACTGCGAGTAATCGCATTACTGAAACCTTGCTTCCCGTCTCTGTGTGCACTGTGCACTCAACTGGACCATATGGTTATCAGTTACCAATGGAGAGCCTCACTTGAGGATCGTCGTTCCTTGTGGTACGCAACTTGACTCCGATCAAGCCACCTTGCGGGCCCGCTTAGCACTTCGCTTTCCACCAGCATTACGCGTGTTGAAAGAGAGCAGCTCCGTTCATCAACTTCGACAAGTTTCAGTAGCTGAAGCGTACCGAGCTGATCTGGCTAGAAACTACTGGAAACGAACATTCATGGACGGCGAAGACTGTTTGGAGATTGAATAGAGACGAGTTAAAAAGCAATGCTCTCAAGTTTGGGAACTGTTTGTCCAGCCCATCTGACTCGACTCAATGAATACTGGATATCCTCGAGATCAGCCGACTTTATCGCTGTTAGAAAAGCCATACCAGCAAATAGAGACTATGATGGTGTACTCAGATCCCCCAAACTCCGAAGGAGCCTGAAAAATGACAGAAAACGCTGGTGGGTTTCGAAGTCCGAAAGGGTGCAGAAGGCTTTCGCTGCAGACAACAGCCGCGCCCTGTTTTAACTGATTCGATCAATGGGTCAGAAGAAGGCAGATGTCAGTGAGACCATATGCGAAAAGGACGGAAAAGCAATTCACTCTCACAATCGCGGTCTTGAGCACTTCCTAGAACAGTTCACCTGGTCCCCCTCAGCACAATCGCTGGAAGAACCAACCGGGCTTGAATGGAACATTGACACGAACCCACTGTCAGCAACCAAAATCCAGTGCGCGATTTCAAGCCTGAAGCGCGACAAGTCACTTGGCCTGGATGGTCTGCATCTCGCGCTCTTCAAAGGTGGCGAGGTCCCGATGAACAGTCTGACAGCCATACTAAAGATTCGGAACAAAAACAGAATACCAGCCATCATTTCAGTTTTCAAAAAAGCAAGAACGCGTGCGAAAATCATCGTGTTATCAGCCTGGTATTCGTCGCATCTAAGGTACTTTCTAGCAGAATTTAGCGCGGATTGATGGGTTATCGGGAGCGACAGATTCCCGAGAATCAAGCTGGGTTTCGCCCTGGTCGAGGATGCATCGACCATATCGTAAACTTGAGGCGAATTCTTGGACAGCGCCACTCATTTAGACGTCCCACGTTGGTCATTTTTCTGGGCTTGAAAGCTGCTTCTGATTCTGTCGGTCGTCAGCAACTTTGGCAGTGTCCGGCGATCAAAGGTCTCTTCCAAATATCTCTCCCTTATGAGGGCGCTGTATGCGAGCTTCTGTGGGCGCGTACAAGTATACAAGCTTTCGCCTGAGTTCACCAAATCCAGTGGTGTAGGACAGGATTGTCCTCTTTCCCCTTTCCTCGTCAACCTTGTTATTGATATACTGCTTGAAATTACTCTACCCGCCTGTGAAACCTCCGGAGTCGAAATGCACCCGGGACGCCCTCACAGACAGTGAGTATGCAGACCGTATTGCTCTCCTTGGTTCAGATCCTTCCCAAATACAGACGATTTAAAATAACCAAATAACTCTCTTGCACGGTTTGGCATGCGCTTTACATTTGCAAAGTGTAAAATGCTGCTACAAGACTGGGCGGGATCAAACCTACACCTCACGCTTGTCGCGGCATGCGCTTTACATTTGCAAAGTGTAAAATGCTGCTACAAGACTGGGCGGGATCAAACCTACACCTCATGCTTGTCGCTGAACCAATCGACGTGGTAGATAAATTTGTTTACCTGGACAGCTGTATAGGTCCCGGTGGACTGGCTGGAGACGAGATTACTTACCGAATCGGAAAGGCCAAGACAGCTTTTGCCAACCTCCGACACGTATGGTGCCGACGTGACTTGAGCTTGTCCGTCAAAAGAAGAGTTTACACCGCGATGGTGCGATCCATAGTGCTCTATGGATCAGAGACTTGGCCCCTACGCGTGGAGGAAATAGGGAAGATGTCAGTGTTTGATCATCGGTGTTTCCGCAGGTCTGGTGGGAATATCGCATTAGTAATGCTGAGGTACGCCAAATGGTCTTAGCAAGGAGGAACTCTCCCGCAATATATGAAGCTTTCACGCTTCATAGGCTGCGATCTTCATCTGGTGTCCTTCATCTTCTTCCTTTAGGTTTTCCGACTCAGGTGACTAGAATATCAACGTGACAGAATAATTTGCATCAAACTCCTAAATCACTCAGTAGACACACACAACGTAACATTGAAGACGGGTTTCCCACAATGTTGATTTCATCTGATCAACTTCAGGTGATTTTGGAATACCAGCAAAAGCAGTTTGAAGACGCGCAACTGCAGAAACAAAAGCAATTTGAGCACAGGCAGAATTTGAGTATTCAGGCTCCTGAGGACAGCAGATGTCAACCATCAACTTCACCTGCAGGCTCTATTGCTAATTCTATCACCGAATTCACTTTTAACGCGGATGCAGACAGAACATTCGACTCTTGGTTCAAAAGGTACCAAGACATATTCTTGATTGATTTTGTCAAGCAAGATGACTCACGGAAGATACGGCTGTTACTTAGGAAACTTGGCACACGTGAGCATTACCGTTACCCGAATTACATACTTGCTAAACAGCCGTGATCTCAGCCTCGACAGCACTGTCCATACCCTTAGGAAAATCTTTGGTGACAACACGTCCTTGCTCAACATCCGATACCAATACCTTAAATTGGTCATGAAGGATGATGGCTTTGTCTGCTTTACAACACTTGTCAGTCGAAAATGCTAGCGTTTTAAGCTCAGCGATGTGGACGAAAATCAATGTAAATGCTTTAAATTTATATCTGGCATCCAGTCCTCTCATCCTGCAAACATTCGGACAAGATTGCTGCACCAGTTCGAACAAGGAGCTCACTGCTAAATGTCACCGCCTCATTTAACTGAACCAGGACAGCGCAATGACTGGCCAAGCATAATCTGGCTCACACGACATAGCGCACAGTTTCTCCGGAAATCAGATTAAGGCTTTTCATCGCAGCTCCCATATCAAACTTAATAAACCTTCTACATCATGTTGGTCTTGTGGTGACTGGCATTACGTTCGCTTTTGTCCCTTCAGGAAACACAAATGCCAGACGTGCAGCCGTACTACGCGTAAGGAAGGATTTTGTTTCCCACAGGGAACAAAGCCGACTGACCACCGAAAGAGCACACCTAAAACAGCTCCCACATCACAACGGAAGCGATGTAGATCGAAATCTGTCTTTGTATCATTCATCATCATCATCATCATCATCATCATCATCGACAGCATGACATCAGTGTTCAACACCGATGCTTCACTGCCGTACAACCATGACTTATTTGAAAGCCTTATTGTGAAAAAAGATGAAAGGTGGATGGGGGAGGGACTTAGTGCTAGCTTAACACAATCATTCCGAGGTGCCTACACCTCCAGACATTCACTCAGGCAATCTGGACAGAAACTGACAACAAGAACGCCACTGACACTTTGTATCATTCAAAGTGAATTTCTCATCCCACAGAAAATTTGCCATACTTTCCGTAAATAATCATCCTGTCCGTCTGCAGCTCGACACAGCCTCAGACATCACACTGATTTCACGTTCTACTTGAAATGCAATTGGGAAGCCACTATGCTCTGCTACCAACGATTGTGCACAATCTGCTTCCGACAATAACACACCGGTTAATGATGAACTCACTTGTGTGTATTTCAACAATGTACGATTTGAAGGCACTTGTTACCTCACAGGTTGTCCAGATCTGTATTTGCTTGGTCTTGATTGGATAGATCTTTTTTTGCGTTCCTCTACGCTCTGTATGTAGAAGCGTGCATCTCACACATACAAGCATTTCCCAACAGCTCACGCGCACAATCCAATTAAAATTTTCTGGTGTTTTTTCAAGATGGTCTCGGACGTTGTTCCAAAGCCCAAGCCACACTTCATTTGAAACCAAATAGTAAACCTGTCTTCAGACCGAAACGCCCTGTACCTTATACGACTCCTGCATCTGTGGATGCTGAACTCGATCGTCTCCAGCCTGTTAACTACTCTTCCTGGGCAGCTCCCATTGTTGTGGTCAAGAAGACGAATATGAACATCAGGATTTGTGCTTATTATTCCACAGGATTGAATGCTGCACTCGATTCACATCAGTATCCTCTTCCAGTTCCAGAAGACTTGTTTGCCACACTCAATTATGGCACCTGCTTCGCTAAACTCGATCTGGCTGATGCCTGTTTACAAGCGGAAGTTGCTAATGACTCGAGGGGTCTTCTAACGATTAACACACACCTTGGTCTTTTCCAGTTCAATCGTCTCCCTTTTATAGTAAAAACGGTGCCAGCCATAATCCCACAGATCGAAGACGCTTAATGGGTTGATAGGCGCCGTGGCGTACTTGGATGATATCATTGTGGCAG